AGCAGAGGCACAGCACAAATTTACATGAAAATCTCCCTAAACTAAGGAAAAAAATCCAAATTTTTCCAGCAAGATTTTCTGCTCCCATACCCGTTTTCTCTTTGACGGCGCTTGTTCCCGTGCGGCCCAATTTACATGGAATATTTTGGAAAAACTTGCAATTATTGAGGAAATGAAGGCCAACAAGCGAAAATAGGGCGCACATCGATATATTGAGCTACCATCAATAAACCACAGTGAGCTGAAAGTGCCCACATAAATTACATTAAACTTTCATGCCTTAACTGCACCACTGCGCTAAAAAATAATAATAAAAATAATCCAAAGCGCCACATTGACACCTTGGCTGCTAAACCGTAGAAAAACCAGGCACTTTTCCTACTTACTTCCAAAGAAAAGCGGCTTTTTATCACCACATGCCGCTACTGCAACGCAACATGTCGGTGCTGGATGAATGCGGAAAATCAAGCCTCTGTTTAGCGCAATAGAAAGGGATGATTTTCCAGCCTCCTGCTGTTCACAAACGGGCAAAAGGTAACAAAAGCACGAAACCGCGGCACTTAAAATACGCAGGAAAATCGCGACTACCGGGAGGAAAAATGCACGAGCCGGAGCTTTTACGAGACGAAAGGTCCGCTTTCCAATGGGCCTGGATCGGGAAATTCTGCCGACGTTGCCGATTTGCGCTAAAGTGGCCGATCTGGAGAAAACCGATCAGTTCTGCACCACCCCTAATAGGGCCCAGACTGGGGGATTAACCGAAAAAACCCATCTGCAGCTTTTTAATTGCCTGTTGAGTTCGGGATGGCTCCAGCCTAATTTTGGCCCATTTGCCATCCAGGAAATTGAATTGTTCTTAATCGGCCAGCAGAGTGTTTCGGGGCAGTTTCGCTGCACGACATCCGAAGGAAGAATTTCCCGCAGATCCACGAACTTTCTCCAATCGATCTGGAAATGCGCAACCATAACGCCGCGTTGCCAAAGTTTCCACTTTCCATGTTCCAGGTTATTTATTATTGCGGAACACGACAGGGAGCCTAATTAATGGATTTCTCCGTGTGGATTAATAACGGATTTCTGGGACTTTCTCTGTTCACTTTGGGAGGAAAATGCCGATATCATACATGTACTCACATAGTGGTCCGATCTCGATGCCACACCTCGATGTTAATTCTTTTGCGGCTGCTTGCAGGTAGTTTCGGGAACTTGAAGGTATGGTTGAAGATCGGCCTTGAAGAGTTGCTTTGGACCGAGGTGCGCTGCAGGACTGCATTCTTCTTTTTGCTTCCGCTGCTCCGCATCGAGTCGGCTAAAGCCACCTAATAACCGAAATTATTTCAGCAAACCATCCACATCTTTATTATTGCCTGGAGAGAATGTCAGGGGGGGTTATGTAGAAAAAATACAGTCTTCTGTTATCTATGAAATTAAAATTGAAATTATGAAAAATTGCATGTTTCTCGGAAGCAAAATGAGCAATCAAAACTCTGGCCTTTTTAGAAAGTGAACCATGGATGGGAAAATGTTGGCAGTTTTCTCAAAAAAGGCTTGAATTCAGGAAATTTTAGATTTGCGTGGTTTTTTTTTAGTTGCAAAATCCACTTGAAATGACCCTGCTTTTTTCGAAGTTTCTCAAGAACCATTCGAGCCACAGAATTCGTTTCGGCATCGTTGGATAGAGAATTGAAAAGTCGATTCAGTCGTAACA